TGTCAAGACTATCCTTCTGCGCCATGCCCCGCCGGGAAACCCGCGTGTTAACAATCTGTCTCGTGTGGTACCGTATATTTTATACGGCCGGCGCCATTGCCCGTCCTGCAAGGGAAGCACGACCAGCATCCAGTCAATAGTTGTTTGCGCTCGGTCGTTTGCCCATGCGCGCTCTAATCACAGAGATTATTCGCTCTCGTGAACAAACTCCCGATCGCTGTTATAACGCGTTGTACTATCCTCCGATAGATCTCCTGCCGGCGTCGGCCATTACCTCAAATCAGCGACGAGCAATAACTTTGTACCAATGACATCGGTTAGTCAAGTACAGGAGCGCTTTGGTTTTCGGTCCGTCTGCGTGTAAATGCCTTTTGTCATGCGTGCATTTTCTTCAGTAATGATTTATCTGCGCGGGTGTACTTTGTTATTGTAAATGCGTTGGGTGTGGGTTGTAACCTGTGCACACGAGGAGGGATGAGGGTGACGGAAAGGAGAGGGAGAGGGCGGCAAGGGAAGAGAGAGAACGAAGAGAGGACGAGGGCGCGTGGGAGAGGAAAGACGCGCGAGAGCGAGAAGAGAGAGAAGAGGCAGGCGACGAGGGGGGGGGAGCGAGGCGGTGGGTCGGCTGAGGTGGTGTGCGTACTCCGGCCGGGGAATTTTGTTTTTGATCAGTCGCTAAGCTGCAACTATCGCTGTCTTGTTTACATGATATCTCGTAATATAGACTTGTGTATAGTCCGGGTAAGTGTTTATACGTATTTGATCGATATCTATTTATAGCTAGGTATTCTTTATATTCGCGACATTGTCTAGTTCTTACTCACGCTTGATGCTGGCAGCAGCACGCGAATTTCTTACGTATGCGTGCTAACTACAAAGCTCGGTATCTTGGATAATTATATTCTTAGTACTTATGTTAATTAATTTTACAGTTTGCGATGCTATTCTTGGTGATTTTTCGTGATATCGTGCGGGTTTGCGCGTTTTACCTAATATCTTTGTCTCTTCTATTGCAACATGAGGTTAGTGATTTGTGTTTCAGGCTGGCCGTAAAAGTTGTGTGAATTGGATATTCTAATTGCAGTGACTTGCCTTTGACTATTGTAGCACGCCGTAGTGTGCCCCTCTATTTCCAAGCCATCTGTTTAACTTTGTTTTGTTGCTTGCGCGTTTTATTTTCAGGATTGAATGATAACACTAGCGGTCAGATGACCGAGAGGACGTTGAATATCATTCACTGTTTCGAACATGCTGATTGATTGCTAGTGTGCGTTACAGATGGGGGGCATTAACGAACGTCACTACTAAACAAATGGTTCGCGCGATTTCCCCTTCTTGTCACGCTTTGCAGTACTCCCTCACTTAGCGCAGTGCTTACGTCACTACTCTTCTCTCTCTCCCCCCCTCTTCTTCGCTCTCTCTCTCTCTCTCTACTTTTCTATCTCTCTCTTCTCTCTCCCGCTCTCTCTTTCTGCCCTCTCTCTCTCTCGCGCTCTCTCTCTCTCTCTCCTCTCTTCTCCGTCGTCTCTATCTCTTTCGTCACTCTCTCCTCTCTCTCTCTCTCTCATCTCTCTGTCTCTCTCTCTCTTCTCTCTCTCTCTCTCCCCCTCTCTCCTTTATCTCTCTCTCTCTCTCTCTTCTTCTCTCTCTCTCTCTCGGGCTCTTCTGTGCCTTGTGTGTGTGTGTGTGTGTGATGGAGCGTGTGTTTTGTGCGTTGTGTGGGCGTGTGCGTGAGGCCGCGAGTTGCGCCGTGGGCGTGCGCGCCTTTGTCGTGCGCCTGCCCGGGTGGAGTGGTGTGCGTGGTGCTGCGTGGTCGCACGTGTACGTGTGCGTCGTGCCGTGGTGCGTGGTGCGTGTGCGCCTCCGGTCGCGCGTGTGTGGTGTTCGGGCATGTGGTGTGTGTGTTCCCTATCTCTGCTTCTCTCACATCTCTTTTTTTTTTTTACTTATCTCTTTATTTGTTCGTGTCGCGCCATGTGTGTCTGGTTTGTTCAGCTCACGCCTTATGGTCCTTTCGTCTTCTATCGCCGCTCGCCTTTTCCCTCTGACGTCTGTGTGACTTTCTTTTCTGTCTCTTTGCTTGCTGGTTGGTTGTCTCATTTTGCGGCTCCGTCAGCGTGCCTTTGCTGTGAACGTTGCATGTTGATTCGCTCTGATGATTTTCCAGGTTCAGTCAAGAGTGATATTGGCCAATGGGGATTCGTAACCCATACGTCCACCAGTCCTCGTCGGATAGGTCATGTAAGGGCGTCTATTCTGCATATCAGTATACGCTGACTACGAGTATGGCGGTATGGTGGATATGGTGGGAGGTATGGCGGCCTACGGCGGGCGGGCGTACGGTGCGCGGTCCGGCGGCGGCGGCTATGGCGGCCGGCTATGGACGGCGCGTATGCGTGGATATGGCAACAGAGACTATGGCTTCGGTTACGGCCTCTGGGATATGCAACGTGGCCTAGTGGCGAACTCTGGCTACAGGGCGAATTGGATATGGCCAGTGGACTTGGCAATGTTCAACACGGGTTATGAGGCGTTACCGAGGCATTCTGGATACGGAAATGTTAACGGCCGGGTTACGGGTACAGCTGGCACACCGGTTATAGGACAATTCCAACAGGATTTGGCTTCAACCCGGATATGGCAGTTCCAACGTGTTAGCAATTCCAACATTAGGTTATGGTGCCAAACCTGGCCACCCGCGTTTCAACAGAGCGAGGTGATGGCTGGGTTATGGCACCCGCAGCCACTGGTTACAACATATTGGGCAGCTGTATATGCAACACCGGCAACACTGGTTCGGTAACCCGGCACACTGGTGATACACCCTATTGGCGAACCTGTTATAGCAACCCGAACATTGGTTCAGGTAACCGGCAACAACGGCAACACTGGATACAATAACATTGGCAACACTGGTTACAGCAACATTGGCAACACTGGTTACAGCAACAACGGCAACACTGGATACAATAACATTGGCAACACTGGTTACAGTAACACCGGCAACACTGGATACAACAACATTGGTAACACTGGTTACAATAACATTGGCAACAGTGTTCACTAAGTTCACTAAATAATGTGATAGCATAAATCAACTCAACGTGCAAGTAGTGAATATGGGTTTCTATGAATTTCCACGAAGATATCCAATTGTTAATGTAATAGTAGTTAATTTAAAGACATTATAAAGGTTTACAGATTAGCTTTCTGAATTTTGTAATGATGATTGTGGAAGTGAAACTAGAGAGGACTGCATTAATAGTTTCATTGTTGATAATGTATAAATCTCCATTTTTTATTGTCGGAAGTTGTCTGACGTTTAAAAGTTGTTTGTTCTATCTATGGAAAGCTAACAACGCTACACTAGTATAAAGGCTTCTGATGGTATTTACTGTTAAACCTCGTTAGCCACCGTTTTGTTGAACATTTGTACATAATTGCACTTAGTTGAAAATTGTTTATTGTATACTAAGTGTTGTTATCACGCGCATATGTAAAGCATAAGAGCTTAAGTACAAGCTGTTCTATCGGCAAATTAAAATTGATAACCATTTTATAGTTGTATCTGCCATAATTCCTACCCAATTAATAAGATTAGTTGAATTAGGAGTTTTATTGTCTACGCGCATTAATTCTAGCTGAGCGCAGACACTTCCGAAGCAAGAAAAGCAGTTCAGCAGACCACACGTCAACTGTTACCGAACGTAATACAGCGGCCATGATGTAACCGGAATCATACGTGCAGTGATAAACACACAGAGAGTTTGACACTAACAATTCTTTGCACTAAACACATATAGCTATAGTAATAGAGAATAAGTTGCTGAACTCAGTTTGTGTGAGTAGTTAAAGACGCATCAAAATTAAGATGGTCACGTCATTGAATAATTATTATACAAATATGATAATCTTCAGTGCCGTCACCATCTTGGTTTAACAATAATAATAAACAACAATTAACAACAATAATAATATATGAGTATGTAATTAGCATATACACTGACTATTGTAAAAGTATCAAGGAAGTTTGAAGAGGAGTAAGAAACATGAATGTGCTTCGCTGTGTTCCGTCTCAGCTGGCTGACCGCCGGTCAGTGTATCGGTTAATAGGCGAAGGCCAATGTCCACGAATCTTCACACGTTTTCACGGCAAGGGCGAAATGTGGGTAACTAGGGATCTAGCGCACGTAAATAAAAATAACGCTGTACATTTTAACGCTCCGTTGTGTTCGAGATCCGGTTGAGAGTTTATCTTGTTTGTGGATCAAGAATTTATCTAGCTGCCGGTCGGTCACAGACTGACTCGTGCGCCCCTAGCGGCGGCTACGGGGCGTTAGTAAGCTAGCGTGCAGTGACGTACGTACGCGCGTTGGCACCCGTTACTATAGTAGCATATCCACCGACATGGTTTTTGCTCTGTTTATCTGCTATATAGGGCAAGGTGATCTATATCAAAACTGATGACAATGTGGACAAACGATATCGGTGAAGTAATCAGAATGCGATTTGTGTACGGTTGATGTAGATCTCTGGCATTAAAAAACCTACTGCGAATAGCTGTAACGCGCGGAATAGGTAAAGAATTGTGAGGGACTTTGTGGAGTTTTAGCGGTTGTCGTTGCGCATGACCGTATACGCGCGCACACGCATGGCCGTACGCGCGTGCACACGCATTACCTGTATCGCGCGCACACGCCATCGAACGCGTAGCGCGGGCGCTACACAGCATGACGCGTATACGGCGCCGCACCAACGCATGACCGTACGGCGCGCACCACGCTATGACGCCGTACGCGCGCGCAACGAGCCATGACCGTACGCCGCAGCACACCATGACGCGACTCGCGCGCACACGCATGACGATATACGCGCGCCACCACGCATGACGTACGCGCGCCACCGACGCATGAGCCGTATACGCGCGCACGAACGCACTGACCGTACGCCGCACACGCATGAGATTAGCGCGAACGCAGTGACCGTACGCGCGCACACGCATGACCGACGCCGACACGCATGACCGTATACGCGCGCACACGCATACGCGTACGCGCGACCACGCCATGACCGTACACGCGCACACGCGATGACGAGGCGTACGCGCGCACACCGCATGACCGTACCGCCTGCATGACGGACGCGCACAACCATGACCGTATACGCGCGCAGCAGCGAGGGCGCGAGACCGTACGCGCGCACACGCATGACCGTATACGCGCGCACACGCATGACCGTACGCGCGCACAAATGGCACGAGCGCGCGTACGACCAAACACAAACACGCGGTGCGCGCGCTTCAAACCACCGCCCTAGTTCGTGTGCCATACATGCACGTCCTTACAAGTACTCATGATATCCATCAGCGGCTAACTTTCACTGAACCAAATGCTCTAGATCGGATCAGGACATCTGCCTTTCACTCAAATATATCGCACTAGTATTGTCAGATACTGACCCACATGATGGTCATTCATATAAGGCAGCGACTGTTGCTCAAACACAACGACACACACACACCACACCCCATACACACACACGCGCAGCGCAGCAACGGCACGGCACGCAACAGCCACACTACAAACACACCACACACAACACACCACACACACAACCACACACACACACCACACATGCCCACACACACACACACACCCACAGACCCCACCTATCATCGCGCGGAACTGAACTTGAATGGAAAGTGAGAGTGTTTTGAGAATGGCGAGTCCGTCGCCACGCCAGGTACAACAAGTGGGGTCAAGCAAACTATCTTTGCCAGCATCCGCACGGGAACCGCGTCAACAAAATCTGCTTTGGACGTATAAAACGGCGCCAATCGTCCTGCAAGAACATCAGTAGTGACGCTCGTCCCGTTGCCATAGCATCTCACATCACCGATAGATCGTGAACAATCGCTTATAAGGTTAGTACTATCATAGATTCCTCCGTGCATTACCTCCAATAGAGAATAACTTTGATACCAGCATGACATCGTTATAAACGTACAGGAGCGTCTTGGTTCTGATATCGTTTGTAAATGTCTTTAGTATGCAATTATTCTTTGTAATGCATTTATACAATCGGTGTTGTATTGTAAATAGTGGGTGTGGCGTTGTTACCTGAGACACACAGAGAGAGATTGAGGGGGTGAGAGAAAGAAAGAGAGGAGAGAGAGAGAGAGAAGAAAGAGAGAGAAAGAGAGAGAGAGAGAGCGAAGAGAGAGAAAGAGCGAGAGAGAGAGAGAGAGAGAGAGAGAGAGAGAGAGAGGGGGGGGAAGGGAGCGGTGAGAGTGGTGCGTACTCCGAGCCGGGAATATTATTGTTTGACTAGTCGAAGTGCAACATCATCGCTGTACATGGAATTATCTCGCATAATATAAGACTTAGTGTTATAGTCGGTAAGTAGTTTATAAAGTATTGATCGATATCTATTTAAATAGCTAGGTAATTCCTTTAATATTCGACATTGTATAGTTCTTACTCACACGCTTGATCGCTGGCAGCGCAACCGCGAATTTCCTGCACGTATGTGCGATAGTAACTAACAAGGCTCGATCATCTTGGAATAATTATATTTAATTAGTATATATATAATAATTAATTTTACCAGTTTGCGATGCTATTCATGTGACTTTTCGTCATATCGTGCGGTTTGCGCGTTTTAACCTAGATCTTTCTCTTTCTGATTGCAAAAAATGAGGTTAGTATTTGTGTTTCAGAGGCGTACACAAGTTTTGAGAATGGATTTTCTAAACTTAGCAGTGATTGCCTTTACTCTTGTAGCAACGGTAAGTGCTGCCCTCTATTTCCAAGCCATTGTAATTACTTGTTTTGTTGCTTGCGGTTTATATTTTACAGCGAATTAGAAATGATAAACAAACTAGGTCAGATGCACGACGAAGAGAGACGTGAATAAATCAATTCACTGTTATTCGAACATGCTGAATATGATTGAAATAGTGATGCGTTAAGATTGGTATAACGACAACGTTCACTACTAAACAAGGTTCCCGTCTTCCCCCTTCTTGTCACCTCTTTGCAGGTACTCCCTCACTTGAGCGCACTCCTTCACGTCACATACTCTCTCTCTCTCTCTCTCTCTCGCTCTACTCTCTCTCATCTCTGCTCTCTTCTCTCTCTCTCTCTTCTCTCTCTCGCTCTCTCTCCTCTCTCCCCTCTCATCTCTCTCTCTCTCTACTCTCTCTCTCTCTCTCTCTCCTCGCTCTCTCTCTCTCCTCTCTCTCTCACTCTCTCTCCTCTCTACTCTCTTCTCTCTCTCCTCTCTCCTCTCTCCTCTCTCTCTCTCTCTCATTCTCTCTCCCTCTCTCTCTCTCTCATCTCTCTCTCTCTCTCTTCTCTCCTCTCTCTCTCTCTCTCTCTGTGTGTGTGTTGGTGTGTGTGTGTGTGGAGAGGTCGTGTTTGTCGTGTGCGTGGGCGTGTGCGTGCGCTGTGCGCGTGTGCGTGCGCGTAGTGCGTGTGTCGTGTGCGTGTGCGTGTGCGTGTCGTGGCGTTGCGTGTGCGTGTTGCGCGTGCGCGTGTGTGTTCGTTCGTGGCATGTGTGTGTGTGTGTTCCTATCTCTGCTTCTCTCACACTCTCTTTCTTTTTTTACTTATCTCTCTTTTGTCGTGTCGCCATGTCTGTCTGTTTGTTCAGATCTACAACGCCCCTATATGTCTATTCGTCCATCTATCCGCCCGTCCGCTTTTCCCTATGACCGTCTGTGTACTTTCTTTCTGTCTCTTTGCCTTGCTGGTTGTCTGTCTAATTTTCTGTCCGTCAGCGTGCTTTGCTGTTGAACACAGTTGCATGATTAATTCGTTTGATATATTCCCAGGTTCAGTCAAGTGGATATCCACCATGCAGCGTATTAGTAACCCATACAGTCTACCACCAGCCCGTACGAATAAAGAGTCATGATAAGGGGACGTCACATATTCATGCATATCCAATCTACGATGACTACGGATATGGCGGATATGGTGGATATGGGGGAGGATATGGCGGCTACGGCGCGGCTAACGGTGCGGGTCACGGCGCGCGGCGGCTAGGCGGCGCCTATGGCGGCGGCTATGGTGATATGGCAACAGAGGATATGGCAATTCCGGCTACGGGCAACTCTGGATATGCAACCAGTGATATGCAACTCTGGCTACGGCAACTCTGGATATGGCAACAGAGTGGATATGGCAATGTAAACACGGGTTATGGAGGCGTTAACCAGAGGCAATTCTGGATACAGGAAATGTTAAGCGCGGGTTACGGAGGTACAGCTGGCACACCGGTTATGGCAATTCCAACACAGGATATGGCAATTCCAACACAGATATGCAATTCCAAACAGTGGTTATGGCAATTCCAACATAGGTTATGGTAGCACAAACACTGGCAACAACAGGTTATAACAGAGCGGTGATGCTGGTTACGGTCAACACACTCGGCAACACTGTTACAACAATATTGGGAACAGACTGTATATTAGCAAACACCGTCAACACATGTTACACGGTAACAACGGCACACACTGGATACAATAACATTGCAACACTGGTTACAGCAAACATTGGCAACACTGGTTACAGCAACAACGGCAACACTGGATACAATAACATTGGCAACCCTGGTACAGTAACACCGGCAACACTGGATACAACAACATTGTAACACTGGTTACAATAACATTGGCAACAGTGTTCACTAAGTTCACTAAATAAAGTGATAGCATAAATCAACTCAACGTGGCAAAGTAGTGAATATGGGTTTCACTAAATGAATTTCCACGAAGATAATCCAATCTGTTAATGTAAGTAGTTAATTTAAAGACATTAATAATAGGTTTAGCAGATTAGCCTTTCTGAATTTTGTAATGATGATTGTGGAAGTGAAACTAGAGAGGACTGCATTAATAGTTCTCATTTGTTGATAATGTATAAATCTCCATTTTTTATTGTCGAAGTTGTCTGACGTTTAAAAGTTGTTTGTTCCTATCTATTGAAAGCTAACAACGCTACACGTAGTATAAGGCTTCGATGTATTTACTGTTAAACCTCGTTAGCCACCGTTTTGTTGAACATTTGTACATAATTGCATTTAGTTGAAAATGTTTATTACATACTATATTTTGTTATCACGCGCAGATGTAAAGCAAAAGAGCTTAAATACTTGTTGTTTTATCAGTAAAAATAAAATGGATAAGCATTTTATTGTTGTATGTGTCATGTGATTCATACCCATTATAAGACCACTCGAATTTTAAACACAGAAGTGTTACAAGAACCCGCAAATAGCAACATTTATTACCAGAAGGTGGCGCTTTCGCCTTATCTTCCACCAATTCTTTTCACAAAAGACATAGCTATCGTAGTAGATAATAGACATAGCTATCGTAGTAGATAAATAGGCACAGCTATAGTAGTAGATAATAGACATAGCTATCGTAGTTGATAATAGGCCAAGTTGCTGCACACAGTTTCTGTGAGTAGTTAAAGACGCATCCAAATTAAGATAGGCCACGCTGTTGAATATTTGTTATATATATATATATATATTGCGTGACTGACTTAACTTCACATGTGAATGTTTCTGTGTGTGCGTGTGCGTGCGTGCGTGTGTGCATGCGTGTGCGCGCGTATTTAGATCTGTGGAATATAGGTTGGCGGGAGAGAAAGTGAGAGCGAGAGAGAGAGAAGGAGATAGAGAGAGAGTAGAGAGAGAGAGAGAGAGAGAGAGAGAGAGAGAGAGAGAGAGAGAAAGAAAGCGAGAGAGAAAGAGGGCGAGAGAGAAAGAAATGTGGGGAATTGACACACGCGAAAGGCGACACACAGGGCACTTATACCCACACGTGAGCGCATACAGGGCTGTTTGAACAGGCGGAAGCTCACGCGCGCATGCGCACAATATACACTAATCGCGGATAATAACAAACGTGTTCACGATGTCCCTATTCGATCGTGCATGGCGATTATTCCATTCATCGCCGTCCTGCATATGCTAGTCAAACATCTGTTATCTACACGTTTCGGAATACATCGTGTTAAGTCTGGTTGGAGTGTAATTTATGCAATGCTAGTATGGCTGCAATCTCTCTCATTATGTTGGGAAACATACGAAATATGCTTAAAAATTGTAAATACTATGACAGGTTGTACTAAAACACATGTATTCCCGTATGAGTGGTCCTGCTAACTCCATTTCTACCCTTTAATATTATATGACTTAATAATATAGGCTTCCAGAATATCCCATGCATAATGTGATATCTGGTTAGATTTGTGTTTCCTTTTCTTCATTTCTTACCGCCTGTGTAGTATCTGTCAAAAGATACATTATTCTGATGAAACTACATATGTAAAATAGAGCCCACATAACTTATGACATATAACATTATATATATATTATATCCCAGTTGCTTTACGTGAATTCATTCTACACTTTATTAATTAATGGACGCATAGTTTTCCCTAATCACCCCATGCTATAGCATCAAGAGTGAATAATAATAGAAATAAAAATATAATATATAATATAAATATATCTTATTATTCACTCGTGGTAGCATCATAATTATGAGATCTGCATTTACGCATGCATAATGTATGCCAAATGGATACGGTGCATGAAAGAGTCGTCATACCGATCATCACTCATGCGCAGCCGTGGTTCTTGTAAGCTCCACGGCACCGCACACATACACACATGTCACGATCACACGCACGCACGCACGCGCGGCACACACAGCCACACACACACGCGACGCGCCCGACACACACACACACACACAAGCACACGGCACAGCTCGCGCACACACCACACACACCACACAACAACATCAAACAAGCGGCGCGCGCACACACACACACCACCACCACGCGCACACACCACACGCCAGCGCCACCAAGGTAGATCGCGCGCGAGGACACACCTACACACGCACCACACAGCAGCACCGCACACACACACACTGCACACAAAACCGCGCGCACACACATACACACACACCAGTACACAACACACACACACACCAGCGCGCGCGCGCAAGCACAACAACACAGCCACACACGCACGCACGCACGCACACACACACACGCACGCACACACACACACACGCACACACACACACACACACACATGCACCATTCACACCTACATCGTTATTCCGTTCATACGCGTGTAGTGGTGATAAGCTGCATCATGCTCTGATACCTCCAGGTCTCATATTAACAGGTTAGACATCGACAACAGCGATCGCTATAGAGCATGAGGTTCGGGTGATTGACTATGTAGGTGCCGCTCATGCAGACGCCCATTCATTCATTCATTCGATAGCAAACTTGTATTGATATTTATTGCATTGCTGACGCCCGAGTTTTCGCTTTCTCCTTCTATTATTCATGTGTTTATTATTGTTACGATGGCTCACTACGTCGTTCAATAAAGCGAGAACTCGAGGTACGAACGAAGTGACATTAAAATGTCATACAGCATGAATATATTATGTACATGTGGAGGTTATTAGACGGGAGTAGGTGGTCGATGGGTGGAACTTATCATTTCATGCAAATTGATCGCAATAATTATGAAGAATCAGGATTTCATATAGATATCAACATTGGAACAGTTGGAGTGAGGTGAATATAGTTTCACACGGACTTGATCATCTCAACGAAGTATAACCAAAGTATACCATGTGTTTTGATTTCTAAAACGAATGTTGTTTATTGTTTTTGTTGTAATAAGTGCCAACATCTATGCAAAGTATGTCTTTATTGCACTCTAGCAAATACATGTATGGACCAGAGGAATTATTACGTACTTACTTATGCGTACGCGCGTGCGCTTTTCGTGTTACCGGGTAAAACGCGTTTTCATCCTAAAACACAGGTAAGCGTTTGTTGCTGCGCAGCCGGCGTGCGTATTGTAATTTGCTAACCGCTCACAAATGTGCAGGTTGGACGAACATTTACGCTTAATGATGGGAGCACGAATTAAAAGCTCAGCGGCTAAACGCGCTCTCACAAACCTTCGTCTACGAACAACGAAAGAGCGAAGCAGCGTCGGATTAGCTGCCCCCGCGTGCGTGCGCGTGTTTGCGTTGTTGACCAGTGGGTCAGGCTGGTGGAATAAAGCCTGTCGTTCACCCCCACGACACATCCGACCTCCGCAGAGCGTGCCCAACGTTCCCGCCAGCGACTCTGCGCAGCGTATAAAAGGGTCGAGAGTGACGCTCGCATTGTAACAACTGCTGCTGCCATTGCCGGTATAGCTTCCGCGTAGAGAAAGAGAGAGAAAGAGAGCGAGCCAGAGAGGAGAGAGAGAGAGAGAGAGAGAGAGAGAGAGAGAGAGAGAGAGAGAGAGAGAGAGAGAGAGAGAGA